AAAAACATGATATTGCGGGCTCTTGCGAGGGCGACCGATCAATTAAGTAGCGAATAAACATGCACAATGAGCCAAAAAACTTACAAATTTGGTCAGATAGAAAAAAAACTCAATGACTTCGCCTTCCAGGCAACTTATTTGCCTTTACTCGAAAATGTAATAATATCGAACAATCGTAATGAAATTCAGCCAATTAAATAGACCTTTATCGACCTTCTTCAAGCTTAACCAACCGAGTACGTAAAATCCGCTTTAAAAGACTTTTAATTAATCCATTTAAAATTCACGAACATTATACGTCTCGATTAGCTTATATAACCTGCTAATATATATGGAGGATTAATAAGAAGGAATAATTATTGCAAGAGCCTTAAAATTATGGCAGACTTGACCATGAATTTCTAGACAATGTCTCTCAATGACTTATTAACGAAATCTTTTTTTTTTTATTCTTTCTTGTGTAATTATTAAAGAGAAATGTGCAAGATCGGGAGAATTTAATGCTGCCACAGCCTGGACTCTGAACGAAAGGTAAATATTAAAAAATTGCCAGCAAACCGTGAGAGCGTTTTTTTTTTTTTTTTTTTTTATTAAAGAGTGCGACAACAGCCGAGCATCACGTCCAAGGCATTAGACGGTCTGACTCTGAACTTAATGGCCTGTTTGTTTGCAAATTGCGCCATCGCTAAAGGGCATCAAACAATTCAAGACTCGTTTTAACTTGCACATTTGAATAACTAGTCGAGACCCACCCCCGCCACTCATGCGTCATAGCATATACGTGCGCGTTGGGGTTGAATTTGCATGCTGTCATTACTTACTGCTCGGAGAATCGCAGTTTCCCCTTATACAAAGGCCAACAGTGATTTTTCGCGGTTTGTATCCTGAACGCCGAGTTACGAATTCTTTAACTTATACGCCTCAAGTGCGCTTTTTTTTCTTCTTTTTTTTTTGTTGAGCATTAAAAGGAGGGTCGAGAGTTAAGTCGATTACTATTTTCAACGTACCGTTATTATTTTTAATAATAGAGAAATATCTTACTTTATTAATTTACTTACGATATTTCTAATGCGCTTAAATTTTAATTGCAATTTTCGTAAAATACCGAACATTTGACAGTATGCACGATTAATAATTATAATTGTATTTTTAAACGGCAACGTAATTTTAATTACTTTGACAATGTATTACATAAAATAATAAATAATTTGGTTTAAAGAAAGTAAGGATATTAAGAATTTTTTTTTTTTTTTTTTTTTTTTTTTTAAAAAATAATTATTTTTGTACTAAAAAATTACATTAGATAAATTAATTTCCTTATATACTATAAAACAATCTATACAACAAATATAAACAATAATTTATGTTATTTAATATAATTGGCATTTGGTTTTTATTTAAAATTTTTAAAAAATATCCTATCAAACTTTGTTTTATAATGCACTAGATGAAATGATTTATGGAATAAATATAAATATTTGATTGAAAGGAGAAAAAAAAATCATGATTAATAATGATGATGCACCATTAAATATCCGAGTTACGAAACGAAATTTAATTTAAAAAATTATTGGAGTGGTAAAACTTCCATAGTGGAAATAAAAATATTTTTAGTTTTGAAAAAACGTTTTATCAATAATCGACATTCACAGTATATAAATTACTGAGTGGTCGTTGCGGCACCGCTTGCAGCGGCCGAAACAGCTGTTGCTTGTGCCAATTCTTCTCGAATTCGATCCTTCTTCAGTTGGCCCATGAACGAAGCTTTGTCTGCGGCGGTCTGGAACCGTCCATGGCCAAATTTGGAGCTCGTATCGATGAATTTGAGGTTGATTTTTTCGAGGGCTGCGCGTTTTGTGTGAACCAAGAGTGACTAAAACAACAATGAGAATACTAGGATTAATTCATGTCGGAATATAGTTTAATAATTCAAGTATTTTAAGGATTTATAATCAGTCCTATCATTAAGAATCATAAAATTAGTACTCATAATCCTTTTGGCTCTAAAAAAAATTCATCACAAGAAATATGGAAATAAAAGAAAAATTTAATTATAAAATATACAAACCTTTCTTAAAGTAATAACACGTTTCTTAGGTCCCATGCAGCAGCCTTTAATCATGACAAAGTCATTGTTAACTTCTCCATAATGAGGAAAACCACCCATAGGCGTAATACTTTTTTCTGTTAAATCATACTCCGTTGATGCATTGTTTTTCACGATCTATAATAAAAGAAAAATAATGTTTTTTTTTTAATATAATACCTTAAAATGACGTTTAATAAACGTCATTATTTTTAAAGGCGTGTAGCTTGATTGGGAATCTTTGAAGTGCAATAAACACAATAAAGAACTATGACACAGCATTGATATAACCTCAGGATATATACACTTGTCTACATTACAAGTACAATTAATTACATTTTTTGAGGTACGTATATAAATCGATTGAAATATTTAGTTACCTTTCCATCCTTGGTGTGAATTTCTTGCCCAATACGATAGATTTTTTTATTCATTTCAGTACGATGATGATATCCTTTCTGACCAGCTCTTGCTACGGTAAATGAAACTCTACTGGGATGCCATGCACCGATGCAAGCGACTTTACGAAGACCTTTGTGTGTCTTGCGAGGCAATTTCTTTGTATGCCAACGCGACGTAACACCTATAAGTCACGCTTAATTAGTTAAACTTTTAAGCATCCGACATATTATTTATTTAAACATATGTGTATATTACAAGTCTTTTTCAGTAGGAAGGCAGCATATGTTTTTCAACAGATTAAGTCTGATTGGTACATTATGCAATTTCATCACATATTTAAATTACTAATTTATTTTAAATGATACGCCGAGAGAAACATTTTAATAGTAATTTATAAATATCGAAATAAAATAAGAAAAATTAATAGGTCCGTATATCGGTAATTTTAGAAAGTAAAAAAGCAATAATATTCTTTGCAAAATTAATGAACTTTTATTCTTACCCTTGTATCCTTTTCCTTTTGTAACACCAATGACATCGATCATTTCATCAGCAGCAAAAACGTTTGCAACGGGAACACCCTTCTCCAGATGCTCTCTGGCCCATTTTACTTTTTCATCGATAGTACCACCATTAATTTGAATTTCCATGATATGGGCTTTCTTTTGACGTTGTCTCAAGAGTTTCATCTACAATAAAATTATTACATTTATTAAAAGTCGCACGTACAAACTTTATTTTCAAATCGACAAGATAAAGTATACATACTTGGGTGTGAGCAATCACACGTACAACTTTGCAGTACTTGATGATTTTCTTGAAGTCTTTTTCAATAGAGTCCCGCCCTAGGTCATCTTGCCACTTTTTGGAGGCTTTGGTAAAAGCCTTCTTCTTGCTCTTATACCTATGCAGAAGCAAATGACTTTTCTATGCAGGCAAATCCCTAATCTGCAAATATGCTGATTTCATCAAAATTGAGCGGAAATCAAACATAATTGCCGGAGCAGCCTTAATACGGAGTATTAAAAAACTCTATGGCTAACACCGTCACAGAAAAATTCTCATCTTTAGAGCGGAGAATTTAAATAGAGCCAATTAAATAAATTGTTCAACTAGAATGAGTTCTGTGTATTTTTCAATATAAAAAAAACTTTCATGTTTCACATTCTCACCAATTTTTGTAGAATCGTCTTCTACAATCTTCCGACAGATGTTCGGCCCAGACAGTGGTCAAGGCTCTTAATCCATGAGGAGTTTCGATGTATCCGACTACTCCAACGACAACCATTGGTGGTGTTTCAAGAATCGTTACAGCTTCGACAATTTCTTTCTTATTCACCTCTACAAATTATTAACTCTATTAGTTTTTGTTAAATAAAGTAATTTAATTTAATTAATCTTTGAGAAAATTGTGTCCTATATGGTTTTTCTCTCTGTCTTGGCCCAATGGGCTACATCAAGTTTATGGAATATACAGGACTACAGCACACTCCTACAAGTAGGGGGCCGAGTTATTTTACGATGTCGCAGTTTGGAATATACCGTACAAAATCAAACAGCTCCTGAACTGCCATTAATTCATCAAAGAGTACATTTCTGCATCTTATATGTGAATTAATAGACATCGAATAACATATAAAGTTTCTTTGCAATACAAAGTAAAATATCTTTAAAATAAAATATAAAAAAAAAAAAAAAAAAAAAAAAATTCTAGTTAATTAATTACACGCGTTTAAAATTATTCACTCACTTGATCCGGGACGATCGGCTTCACGTACAACGTGGGTCATACCAGCTTTGTAACCGATAAATGCCGTTAAATGAACGGGTTTCGTCGGATCATCTTTAGGGAAAGCCTTTACCTTACCACGATGACGTTGAGATCGTTTTTTGGGATAGAATCCCATCGAACCGTGTCTCGGCGCACTAAACTTTCTGTGCGACTATAAAATAAATACAAAAATGGATATTTTAATTCTCGAGGGAACACGTGCTCAAAAAAATTTAACAAAATTTCATACGTAATCAGACCGCCCTAGAATGCTTTCTACATAGTTTATTCGGTATAAACCATAAACATTATAAATCTAAATCATCATTAAGCGTTAATTCGATAAAATAACAGGTAAAAGCACCGTTCCATTATTCATAGGTTAGTTAAGCTATGTCCTAGATAAAACGTGGCCGATATCCAACAATTTTCTCTCCATCAGCGAAAATTAATAATTTAAAATTAATATAAAGAACAACGACTAATATCAATAACTAGAATAATAATTATTATTATTTAATAATGTTTAAACGCGGGAATACGATTGCAATATCACCACGTTACGGTCAATTATGTTACGATGAAATCAACCCGTATTTATTAATTATTTAAAAAAATATACTATTGGAAGCTCAAATAAGACTTAGCGGATAACGATAATTTATTTTTCAAATTAATTATTATAACGATGTATGAAATAATTATAGATAAAATATTGACTCTTACCATGATGACGCCAAAAAAGAAAATGGACGACTTGGGCGGTTGCACGAGTTTTTATAACGGCGTCTAAGATAGAAAATCATCTAGATAATAGATGATAGATGATAGATGATAGATGATTTGCGAATAAAATTTCATCTATTAGCTTGTATTTTATGCTTAATACTTTCCATTCGGCACTTTACTCCGATTTTACAGAAAAATTTCTTATTTCTTCGATGTAGCTTTTATTTCTTTTTTTTTAATTGAATTTTTCAATAAATTAACATGGAAGATTTAAAACAAGCTGTTAGACAATACGAGGAACAAGTACGTATTTATTATTACTTGTTTTCGCTTTAAATTTGTTAACCTTTTATCCAATTTATTTAAAAATTATAATTGTATTTATCAATTTGCTGTTATTTAAAGCTATTTCAAGTTCAACAAGCACTGATCCAAGCAACTGGTTCAGAAAGAGAAAACTTATTAAGTTTGCAGTCCGATCTTGAAGAACTAATACAACTTACAGAGACAGAGGAAAATGTTGAAAGTACAGACGATTTAGAACAGAGATCGAGTGATTTAAATGAAGGGCCCAAAACTCATTTAGACGACGAGTATGACTTATTTAAGGTAAAAATTAAAAATATAATCAAATTATTTGTAATTATATGATAAAATTAATATATTCTTTCATCAAAAAGGCTGAACTGGCTAAATTAGATGAGTCGACAAACGTCGACAGTTCAGAATCTGTTGTGCAATCATCGAATAGTTTTGAAGTCAGTATAATGATGTATATCATAATTTATAAAAGCATAACTATAAGACAGTTTTATACTGTAGGACGAATTAAAGGCTATTGAAGGTACCAAATGTCGAGCTCCACATGGCAGCAGTTGGGGTGGTACCGGATATCACAATGCTATGGTTTGCTCGGTATACAAAAATGATGATAATTTTTCAAGTCTCAATGACATAATGGTATGAGCTTAAATAATCTTGGAATAAACGAAATATTTTTATAATTCTTGAATTATTATTAGGTTAGGGTATTATTTATTAATCCAACACACAAGGAAATGCTACCATGTCCTTATTTTTTGGATGGATCGTGCAAATTTTCCGAAGAACAATGTCATTTTTCTCATGGAGCGCTTATTCCATTCACTAGTATTCAAGAATACAAGTATTAAATTGTTAATTTAGAACATTGTTTCTTTATTCATACTCATAGATTATATGAGAATTTGTTTTAGAGAACCAGATTTTTCAAGTATAAAGATGGGAAGCAGAGTTTTAGCCAAACAAAAGAATAAATTATGGCATAGAAGCGTTGTTTTAAAGACCCCTGGTGATCAGAATGATCAGTATGAAGTTAAATTCGAAGCTAGTGGTAATGTAATTGAAGTTGGAATACATGATTTGCTTCCTCTTGGTAATATGTTATTAATTGTTATTTACATATTAAAGAATTTTATTCAAAATTTGTGATTTTTAGTTAATGTGTAATTAAATGCTAAAAGTATAAAGAAAAAAACTAAATTAAAACTAATATTAGCAATATATAAATGATAGAACAAATTAAATAAGATTTCATACTTGATTTATTCAATTTTTTACAATATTGCAACAAATTTTCATAAAACTACTCTTGAATAGGCTTATGAACCAAAAAAATAATTGTACATTAAAAAATATTTATTAGCTTTTATCAATTACATTGTAAAATTATTGTTTTATATAAATAAGAATAGTTTGATAAAATATATTTTTGTTAATATTAGATGACGACGGATTGGAAATGTCAGATTCATCCGATGATAGTGATTATGATTATGAAATGAAGAATTGTAATAACGAGGAAATTGTACATAAAGCACTTTTAACAGTCAATTCTACTGAACGTCTTGGTAGTTGGGAAGATCATACTCGTGGGATTGGCAGTAAATTAATGGCGAAAATGGGCTACATTACTGGTACAGGCTTAGGTAAAAGAGCCGATGGCAGAGTAAATCCTGTTGAAGCCACCGTTCTACCAGCTGGAAAATCGTTAGGTTAATTTAACTTTGTTATTAGTTTTTTATTTAATAATATTTATACATGTAATTCAGCTTCAAGTATGCTTTAATTATAAATATTATGAATGGATTTAGATCACTGCATGAATTTAAGAGAAAATGCTGGCGGAGACAAGAATTTATTCAGCGTTGAACGGAAAATACAAAGACAGAAAAGAAAAATGGAAGAGCAAAGACAAAAAGAATATATAAGGGAGAAGCAACGTGAAAAAAATAATGTTTTTAATTTTATGAATTCTGCTTTTGGAAATAAATGTAATTTAATTACAATTCTATTACATGTTAAAGATATTTTATATGATTTAAAATATATGTGATATATATATATATATATTTATAATTTTATAGCATTAAAATCAGAGCCAAGCAGTTCAAAAACTCATAAGGAATTAAAAATGGAATCTAATAAAAATTTGAGTATAGCCAGTTATGAAATTGGAGAAAATATTTCAAGATTAGAAAAAGAATCTTCGAAACTTCAAAATAATTTAACGCAATTTAGTAAAGGAAGCGTACACTATAATAATATTGTTTCCAAATACAATGAAACACAAAAACAAATTACAAAATTAAGAGCTTCGGAGAAAAGGATATCAGCAGAACAAAATCAACGAAAATTTAAAGCAAAATTAACAGAATTTTAAAAACAGTATTATTAATATTATTGTTAAGTATTGTTATTATAAATAAGGTTTATTTTGAACTATTTATGTACATACTAGTGCAGTAAATAAAATAAAGTATAAAATATTCTATTTTAATATACTTTTTGTAAATTAATTTTCATTTCAAGGTATATCTAATACAAATTTAAAGTACATTAGTGCATATTTTACCAACTTTCTAATTTTTATTTAGAAAACTTTAATATAAAGAAAAAACTTAATAAAAATCTTTAAAAAAGCAAAATATAACACTACTTTATATTGAAAACTTTGAAAATATTATTTTTCCCTCCCTTGTGACAACTTACCTGTTATAAACAATGGCGGCGATCAGTAAAAAGTTAGTTATATTCAATTATAATTCTTCTTTTATTTTTAAATAATCGATTATTTGTATAAAAACAATAAATATTATTTTCTACAATTGTTATAAAAAAATAATTTATTTAAATTGTAGGTTAGACAATTGCGAAGTGTGTGCCAAAAATATTGCTAAATATACTTGTCCAAAATGTGAGGTTAGAACATGTGGATTGTCATGTATAAATATTCACAAAAAAGAGTTAGATTGCAGTGGAGTACGTGATGAAACAAAATTTATACCTTTAAATTCATTTACAGATTTAGACCTACTAAGTGGTAATTATTTTAATCAATTATAAATTTTTGTTTATTTGCAAAAATGGCTATTAGCATTTACGTTTCAGATTATCGTTTATTGGAAAATATTGGGCGATCTGTTGAAAATTTTAAAAGAAATCCTGCAAAAAAATTTACAAGATATAAAAACTGTGCCATAGTATGTATTGCTAATATATATATATATATATATATATATTGCTATTGATAAATATATATATATTATATATATATATAACGAATGCATAATTAATTTTATAATTTAAATTAATTTATTGCTTAAGTTTTTAGAAAAGTTAAAGCATGCAGCGCACAATAAAGGTATAGATTTAGAGTTTATGCCTCAAAATTTTAGTAGGCATAAGAAAAATACAACTTATTTAAATTGGAAAACTAATGAATTTTTTTGGAGAGTAGAATTTATTTTCCCGCAAGCAGATAACACAAAATGGAGTTTAGATAAGTAAGATAAATTTTAGTTTGTTTATATTACAATATGCATTTATTTTAAATTAGATAACATTTCAGAGTATTGGATAATAAAAGATTATCTGTTGTATTAGAAGAAATCCTAAATTTTGATATTCGATTAAATGATAATGAACAACATAATAATCTATCAGTACTTTATAAAAAATTGATATTTTATCGAGCATGTGGAATAACTGGACTAAAAGCTTTATTGAAAGCAGAAAAAGTACAAAAATCGGATACTAGGTACGCTTTAATGCATCATTTAATCATAAACTTTTTGATTAATAATTGTTTATTTTTTTAAAGGTTTTACGAATTAGATTTATCATTATCATTGGAAGAAAATTTAAAACAAAAAACAATAATTGAATTTCCAGTTATTTATATTATACTTAAAGATCATTCCGATATGTTTGAAATCATAGATAGTGGTATGAAATTACTTTAGTATCTTTCTTTTATCTTTAATATATTAAGTTATAAAATAACGAATATTTTTAGATGATGAAGAAATCAAAGCAAAACCTTCTTCTAACTTAAGGAGAAAATCAAATTTTGAAAATAGGAGTAGAATAGGTCATAAATCCAATAAAAACAAAGTGGATTCTACTGTCAATTACTTTTTTTGTTCAGAACATTCAGATTTGGAGGAAGAAAGTACATCGGATGCAACCTATCTTAAGAGTGATAATCAAGAATTTTATATACCTGATTATAATGAATTAGTGAAAATGAAATAACAAAAAGAGTATCGCTAATATTTTGTATGAATTTTTATTGTAAATACAGTATTTTTATAGTTATTAGATCAAACTTTTTATAAATATTTGAACATTAATAAGTTATATAATATCTAGTATATTGGTATCTCTTTATATCCCAAAAACATCCATTTATAATACAGTTATATAAAACTAATTTAAAAATATGCTATACTATATAGTAGCATTTATAAAAATTGTTTTCACAATACCGTTACAAAGCATAAATCAATGGACTAAACATATAATTATTAGGTAAAAAAGCAATTGACGAGATAAATTATTTTAACAAATTATGGTATATTCAAAAAAGCTTCATAAATTATGTCTTAAAATCTAGAAATTAAAACTAACCCTTCACGAAATAACAACTTGGCAAGTGTTTTTTTTTTCTTTTTGTAACTAAAGAATGAAAAAATATAATACAAACACAGAAAATGCAACTAATCCAGCCACTGCTTTAATATACATAGATTTACTATTTAGAAGAGCTGCATCTTTTCTGTATTTTTGGGATAACATGGATAAGTTTTGCGTTTTTGTATCCAACTCTAAAAAACAATTAACAACAAATCATTATTTTTCTAGTTAAATATTAATTAATAAAATTTCACCTGAAAGAACAGTCCCTCTTTGTAATACGTCATCAATATTTTGTACCATAATTCTTTGAACATCTTGAAGTTGATTGCTTAAGACATTCATATTGCGTCGCGATCTGCCATCTGAAAAAATTTTTTGGGCCTTTTGCAAATATGTATCTGCAAATAAATTAAATTAACTTATTGAAGAACGTACGTTTTAATAAGTATTTTATAATCAATCATCTTTGTCAATAAAAACATACCAAATTCGATAAATATGTATGGTCGAGAAACTTTATCAACATTTTTGCCATATTGATTATGGAATTCTTGAGCAATATCTTCTAAATAACTGTATGAAGAGCGTTTACTATATTGTCGTTCACACAAAACTAAGTAACATACATTATTTTCAATGAGGTAACTGAAATTATATGCTAATCTATTATATCAGTATTACATTAATATAAGTAATAAATAATAATAATAATAATAATAATAATAATAATTTATGTTTTTGTTGTTATTAGGACAAATAAGACTGTGTTATTTAATTTAATCAAATTATAAATTAATTGCTTACTGGAAAAGATACGGTCCTGTTTCTATTGTGCATCTTGGCGGAGAATGTGGGCCAAGTTTCTTAAATAACATTTTTGCTTGATTCTGATAATACATAAAATTTTTTGTTGTCTAAAAATAAACAAACACGAATATAATTAATAAATTTATACAAATAAAATTTCATTTATGTTATCAATGTATTTGTACAGTTTTGAATATTAAGAATGTAAAGAATTATGCAAACAAAATTGTATCAATATTTTAAATAATTTTTTCTTAAAATAGAAGATTTATTTAATAATATCTGAGCCATATATTTTAAAAGCCAATATTTTAAAATAAAGAAATTATAATATACATTTTTGTTACTTATCTCCTAATACAAGTTTTATCAAATATCCATTTATTTTATTGAATTTTTATTACAAATAATGTCTTTAACAGTATTGTACTCATATCGAAGTATAGTTTTTTATTTTAAATTTCATTGAAAATAGCCAAATTAGTCTAACATATTTGTAAATTTAAAGTTTTCAAAATTAAAGCAATTATCTTTGCTGTATTATAAGATGAAATTGCATAGGTATATGCAATGATCAAGTAACGTTGGATAATTCAATATTTTAATAATGATTCAATCAATAGGAGCTCCAAATTATTAAAAAATTATTTGAAAAATCACTATCATATTGTCAAAGAAAAGCTGTCAATACAATAATTTTTTAGATAATGATTTCTAACCTGCTCGTCTTTCTGCATTCCAGCTGCCAACGGCAAACCATCGCCTATTCGCGCTATCATTGTTAATAATATCATTTTTACACTTTTTGTTTATAAATATGATTTTTTTTTTTTTTTTTTAAGAACGTATTAATGTACGCGGATTTTGTCTATCATTTGTACGGTACGTACCCCAAATGGATTTAACAGTTAAGTCAATGAAAGCTACTTAATTCACCAGTCTTATGAAAAAAGTAGACAAGTCGCTACTTTAGTCAGCAGTGCGTAGAATATATAATCGCATACAATTTCCAAAGTCACTCGGCCTTTATTATTTTTCACACTGTCTCACCAATGTAATGATTCCACATCAGTAAATAAGAGCCTTCCATATGATCCAGTGGTCATTTAAATTAATTGACTCCGACCATACAATTATACAAATACGAATACTTAACATACTTGGTATGTGTTATTGCATTTTTAATGTAATCTCTAAAGATTATATATTTACACTTTACAAGGATTTGATAGTTGCTAGTTGCTATTTATTCTGAAACGTGTCAAAAAATATGTGGGCAAAATGGAGGATCGATAGATAAATGATTGTTGATAAGTATCTGTTAAGGTATAAGCGATGGAAAAATATTGGAGGCTGTAGATGTTAAGGCGTCAGCAGTGATAATAAAAAAATATAAATATATTTGTAGTTTCAATCGTAAGAATAAATAAATAAAAAAAAGTGTTTACATTTTCATTTATTTTTTAAGGAAGAAGGTTTTTAAATTACATGCTAACCATAATAAAGATAAGGTTTAACGCGTATTAATAATGATTAATCGTGAGTGCCGGTAAAGTAAAAAACAAAAAAGAATCAAAAACACAAAAAAAAATAAAAGAGAGCAATATTTTTAATTTTACAGGGTCTCTGGTTCTTTTGTAAAAGAATCCTTTATATTAATTTTCGTAAGATATTCTGCATTTATAATAGTAAAAGTTTTCGTTTTGAAAAAATTACTTCATTTACTATTACGTTTAGTTGGATGCTAGATTTCTTCTTGAGAGAAAATCTCGTTAAGAAAAGGAAATCTCTTAATATTTTTAAAACCAAAATTCCATTCAAATTGTATAGATTTATATATTATAATATATCTAGTTCGATTGTAAGCCGACTTCGCATGTTACTTGTGACTATTTCACAAACTAACAGTGATTATGATATTTAAAGCTAATCGATTGAAAAAAAACAATTAATGAACTGATCTGCTGGTACTTATAATTCTATTTTTTGTTTTTTTTTTGTTTTTAAATGAAACTTCAGTGCCCGTGCAAAATATATCTTATTCAAGGAGCTTGACCCGGTAGGGACTTAATTAATCAGTAATCTTAATATTAAGAAGTTAAACGGAAAAATGGAGCCATGTTAAAGCTCGTCCTATCTTGTCTCGATGCGCCTCTCTCGGCAAAGTCGAGAACTTTCCATCCACGTACACTCCCGCTCCATACCCACAAACTATATGCACAAGATATCTGCACACATTTAAGCCGTTGCATATGTGTATTAGGCGGCATTCGACTATCGAGTACAGAAAAATTTGTGTGACGTGCACCGCGATTCCTTTCCCCGTGCAATGTCTACACTCACCCGTAATTTTCCTCGATATCAGTGAGTTATAGTGCGTTTGCAATTTTGTACATTCGCGGTTACGTAGCCGTGAAGACGTCGGAGAAGTCATTGGAATTGAACGTGCACGAGGGAGAGTACCAAGAAGGATAATATGTTTTTGCGATACTTATGAACGCGATTAGTGTTGGGTGAGTGTTTAATACGGCGAGTATGAGTCGAGATAGAACGCCAAAGCCGAGAGTGAGATAAAGCTTCACAGCTGGCATGAAATCTTGACTCTTTTTGGACCTCGGTTGTATTAATTTTTGTGGCTATATTGACTTGGATGACGAACATTTTAATATGAAATTACCTCCTCGCGTGTTTTCGATTACATAATTTACAAAATATTGAAATCCCTGTTTATTACTCCGTTCATTTCATGAATGAGGAATTTTTATAATTTTGTTGTTAATTGTTTTATACTTCATCTGTGAATATTACTTCAAGTGTTGTATTATAAAATTATTGGGAAATGTACTTCGTCGTTCACTAGTTTTTAGTGTTTGCATTTTCATTATCTAAAACGTTATATACACACACACATGCACACACGCGCGCGCGCGCGCACACACGAACACACACACGTATATATATATATATATATATATACATATACCTACACATATATAGACATACGTTCATCTATATATACTTTTTTTTTTTTTCTATTAAAGCAATAGAAATTTTACCATAAAATGACCCATTTAACTTTTGTATTCTTTCTTTACAGATTTTTTAGAGAAATTTCTTTATAGAAGTACTACTTTCACATTAGTATGAGTGTATGTATTAATACAGTTTATTTGCATTATTTATTATTCAAATTTCTTTATTGATGCTTTGTATTTCTATTAAATTATATTTTATTTGTAGAATCCTTATCGTGTACGACCAACGAGATCAAGAGTAGATTCCAATTTTGCTGGATATGGAATTCATAATCAGAAGCCCTGGAATCCAGATCCTATCGATAGAGCACCAAATAATATTGAGTCAAATGCAACTTTTCAACCTCCGCCAACAAATCAAACAAAAGTTACAGAAGATTCTTGGGATTGGAACGTGGATAATGGCAATAATGGAAATGACTCTTGGAATTGGAGTATCGAACAATCCGAATCACAATCGCATCTACATCAACAACAGCAGCAACAGCAACAGCAACAGCAACAACCAATTCAAAGTCAATTCATTCCATCTTACACCAATCAAAAGCAGCCGATTTTACCTCCCACTAATGAAGGCTATTATAAAAATTTAAATGGAAATAATAGAGCTTCCGTGCTCTCGAATCAACATAGTTCCATAAGCATTGAAAGTACAAGGACTGCTCCATCGATGAGAGAAAATACTTCGAAACCACCAGATTCCTTATTGCAGTATCCAAATTATAGTCAGACCTCTCAGTTTTCTCTATCTCCTCGACCTAATTCAAACGCATCATTTTCTGGATCTATTGATAAGCCACAGTGGTCTAATGAACAGCATAATCAGAGTTTGCCATACATACCATCCAGTCAAATACACAGTCAAAAAGATCAATCTTCTTTGCCACCCCCTTCTGCCGTTAACAATTTCAATTGGACTAATAAAGATCAACATAATGTTCCTTTGCATAATTGGCCGAGTCACGATGATAATTCATCCAATTATTGGCAAGAATCAAAACTTCCCAAACAAGATCAGTTTTCTGAAAATGTTAATAATCCTTGGCCACAGCAAGTAAGTATTTAAAATATTTTTCATATCATTTGAATATTTCTAGTATATAACGAGTAAAAAGCTTTCAAATTTTACAGACCATTGAAATAGTTTTATAAATTACAGAATTTAATATAAAATTAAAAACAAAATTAAAATACAAATGTATATAGTTTTTTTGTTAATAAATGAATGTAAAATTGTTATACCTACATGCATTCTACCATAATTAGTACTTAGACTACATGTTTTAATAGTTTGAAAAATAAATTTCTGTTAAAATAGATACTGTAAGGCATATAATTTTTTAGTTATGCATGTAAATTAATTTTTATATTGAATATATAAATTTAAACTATTGATTCTTTTATTGCGTTAATTATCGTCATTTGTCTAATAGAGTCGTCAATCATCGCATCAACGCCAAGAGAGAAATACTGATGTTTCATCTACAAATGCCACTAACAGCGATCAATCTCAATGTTATAGTCCACACGAATCGTTACAAGAAAATATATCTACTAAAAATTGGCCTGCACAAAATACATTGCCACCCAATCAATGGCCAAAAAGTTCTTCTGAAAATATCACGAACGTTTTACCACGTCAGCAATCTCTACCCTCTAGTACGTGGTCTCAAGCTGAAGAAACTAATTCAGTATCATCTTGGCAACAAGGTGTGTCGGGCAATATTACAGGTAGTCAGTGGCGACAGCCGAAACTGCAATCGGGTGGTTCACTCGAAGAATCAGCATTGTCGGAAAATAAGAACGAATGGCAGCAAATTCATGCCCCTCCATCTCATTTTAATTCATCCACCACATCCACTACTTCAGGTTCCTTAGCAAACATGTCGAGTAGTACGGAGCAATTAGAAGATCGAAAAAGATCTTTGACACCAACCACAAGTTGTACATCACTCAATGAATATCAAACACAAGTAAATTATTTTTCTTAATGACATTCAATCTTATAAGGATTATATATATTGAACATTTATTTTAATAACAGATACAGATTAAGATTATAATAGAAATAAATTTTATATTTCAGACATGTAATACTAGCCAGATGAATACTGAAAGTAATGCTGCATCTAATCTAGAAAGTTTTCGTAATCAAAGTAATACAGATTTCGATTGGAATGGAGATAATAACTGGCACACTGTAACTGAATTATCTAGTGGGGTGAACAATATGACCATTTCTCAGAAATTCACTCGGCACATCGAAAGTACTTCTTGTAAAGATAATCAACCAATACCTCATCCTGCTAATGACTGGGCTCCTCAAATGGTTTCGACATCAAAATCTGTTAATATCGAAAATACTTCGGATAATTTACCAATTTTGGAGCCAAAACATGTATGTTGTCGAATATATTAAATTTTTTATTATAAATTGTTATTTATAAAGTTGCTTCATACGATATATTTTGTATATATTTTCATTATTTAGAGCGTAGAAAGTCCTGTTGTGGTTTCGCAAGAACAAATGGATGGATTTCATCCAGGTACTTCAAAATCTTTGGAAAATATTTCTCAAGCTAATTATGATCAATGGTACAAGCAAAATGTGCGCACACAGTCAGATAAAGAATTTTTTGGCAATGACCGAGCTCATTGTGTAAAGCAATGGCCATCGGAACAAAATGTGGAGAATTATGAAAATATTCAACAGTCCTCGGAATTTGTTAATCTTGAAGTCGTTGCACCTGAATTACAAGAAAGAGATATTTATGGTTCACACGATTCAATCAACAAAGAAACTTTAGAAAATGATCAAGTCCTTCGTCAAGCCAATTCATCGAAAGAAGCTGTTTTGCGTGATTTCAGACAGGAGTCTAATAATATTGAAGTGCCCACAATTCAACAGATTCAACAACCAATTCTTGCAGAGCAGGTAAAAATCCTTTTTCATATAAATATAATAAAGTAGTTATTGAAATAAATATAATTATATATATTTTTCAAAGTAGATAAAAACAAGGGTAAATAAAAATAAGAAATTGTTTAAATATAATATAAAAATAAAGTAATATTTTTCGTATTTTTAAAGATTGGGCAAACATAGTGCAGGTTTTGATATAATTTGAAATATTTTAAATTATTTCTAAATATAAAATCCAGAACAGAATTAAAGTAAATGACTTTAGTAATGCTTTAGTAAATGACATACTTATTAAAATTAGTTAATAATTAGTTATATTTAAAATGTGTGTGCAATTATATTAATTTATATTATATTTTAATTCTTGTATATATTATACAAAATTATATATTCATACAAAATTCATTCATTATAATATACATATATATACAAAATTATAAATTCAGACAAAATTTTCATTATTATAAAAGATATTTAAGAATAAACATTATTGTTAATATCGATATACATTTGGTTATTGTTTTGAGCAAATAATTAAATAAAATATCAATTACAAGCAATTTTTATAAATTAAATATTTTTATTGTGAATTGAATTTGTATTTATTGAGTAGCATGTTCGAATGGAAGAAATTAAAATAATAAATAAATTTCATACTATAAATAATTTTAACGCAAAGTAAATTTATGTTAAATTTAACATTTATAACGTTTATTTATGAATATTAAATCTGGATTGGTAATAAGTAAAACTTGTTTAATGTTTAGCAATATGATAAATTTTAATCAGAAACTTTAAGTATTAAAAAGTTGTAAATATCAAATTATAATAATACAATTCGCTTATATTGTCGAACATTTATGTAAAAGTTATAAATATGAAATTAGCATTTATATTGTATTGTATTATATTGATTGAAATTTAATTTATACGGCTGCGTATAATTTTGCAATTTTTTAAAAATCTTTCAAATGATAAATTTAATATCTGATTTAATACACAGCTAATAATAGAAATATCCATAACATAATAAAAGTGGATTATATTAGTAAAGGAAACAAGGGAAAATTTTGTTCTTCTGTCATATCAAGTTCTTTTATTGGTAATTGTTAAATCATTTATTAAAAAATAATTCTACGTAACTCAGGGTTTTATTCGTCACGTTAGAAAATATATTTCGTTTGCCAGCGATAACGAAATGCATCGACTGTAGAAAACTTGTATGCCTAAATCGTGTATATTTAAATTAATTATTCAGACATATGAAAACAGCATTGTAAACGCGAAATGTTGTGTATCATAGGCACCAGATAATTACGAATTCGCGTCGAACGACAGAAACACGTTTCTCGAAACCGGCGAGTTGACGGACCAGCATTCCCACGAGCACGTGTCACTGCCGCCGAGCCAGGACGACGAGAACGACGAGGTGCCAAATGACATACCGTTCCATCGCGAAGTGCCGGGACAATCGAGCAACGTCGATCCGCGCCGGAACGACCCCACCGGCCAGGAGCAATACGCCCAAGGAGTCGGCAATGGCATCAGCCCTCGGATTTCTGATCCTCGAAGGAACGATCCTTCCGGCCAGGAGCAGCAGCTACAACACGTAGCGCAAACTCGGACCAGCATAATGGGTGAGTCATTTTAAGTGCTCATATCAAGTTATGTCGCGTAGTATTAAGGCGGCCAAGGATGCAAGATCGCTGTGTTCTTGTTCTTGTACAATCACGGTAACACAAAGCTTAACGAAAATTTTATTCAGTTAAAGAATTCCGGTGACGCGTATATATGATTTGCAATCGGTGTATTATTTTATAAGAATATGTGCCACTTTCAAGATATGCTTTAGTAATTTTAAAGCATTCACCTTTTAATGATTTATTTATATTATAAAATAATTATAATTTATTTATATTTAAAATAATTATAAAATACAATTCATTTTTCTTGTTTGCAGAATCTATTAATTAAATTACCATATTATATTTTTAAAGTCTAATAGCAGAAAATTTCGTTAGTGTATTAAATGTGCATTCGTAATTCTTAGAAAGTACGATCGCGATAGAGCAAATAGGAATGAAAATTAATTAATGGCATATTTCATTTTACGACGTATAAGATTTTTAAGAAAACTTTTACAATTACGTTATTTTTATTGTTGTAAATAAAATAAAATTTCTATTATTATATAAAAAATATAGCTTATTAGCATAGAATAGAAAAATTCCTTTGATATTTTTTGTTCTCAATAACATTAATTCATTCATTGTTTATACATAAAACATTTTTAATTTATCAATTTAAAATTGTATGATCTTTTAATCTAATAAATAAGTAAAAAGTTAAAATTATACATATACAAAAAAAAAAGTATTGTTAATATATTGTCCTGGAATTATGCTTATATTTGAAATTAGATATTAAAACTGAAATTAATGTTAGACGAAGAATATTTTTTAATTAATAATCAATTTTGTAATCATGTTAAATCAATTAGAATTAAAAAAAAGATCGAATATTAGCAGAATGGTTTTAGAAGATATAAAGTTTTTTCATATAATAATAAAAATAAGATAGATGATTGATATATGAATTTGTAGTACATTGTTATCAAACATAATTCGTTTGTGTCATAACAAGATTACATTTATATATATTCAAATAAATAATTCAGAATTATTATTCAATTAATACAATAAAATATAATACAAATGATAATTTTATGTTTACATTAAAATAATTTAAATTTAAATAGATTATCGAATCATACGTTTTTAAAATTCTTTGTGTTTTTGAAATATTGTGAATTTACTAAAAGAATTCACGTTATTTTGTTGTTAAAATAGCAAATACTTTGGTACTAAATTGTATGCAAAAAATTTATCTATATCGCATAATGTAATAGTTTGTTGTAGAAATACTTAAACCGAACGTATTTTCACGTATATTTTAATATTTTAAAATTAAATTATAAATGTCTGTCATAGGTATCAATATTATTTTCTTAAATTAAAATCTAATCATTAAGATTTTGATATTTAAAACGATAAATTGAAGAAAAATTTCTCCATAGTTGACAGACCATCGGATAGACGTGATTTGCCATCGGGTCAAGAACGACTAAAGCCTGTTGTACAACAGCAGCTGCAACAGCAACAGCAACAACAGCAACAACAACATCACCAGCAGCATCAGCATCAGCCACAACAACAACAACAACAACAACAACAACAGCAGCAGCAACAACAACAACAACAACAACAACAACAACAACAACAACAACAACAACAACAACAACAACAACAACAACAACAACAACAACAACAACAACAACAACAGCAGCAGCAGCAGCAGCAGCAGCCGCCGCCGCAACAACAGCAGCCGCAACAGCAAAACCAGCCACAGCAGCAGCAACAGCAACAACAGCAACAGCAACAGCAACAGCAACAGCAACAACAGCAGCAGCAGCGCAATTGCGAGGTGGAAGTCGTAGAACGTCGGAATGACCCGTCAGGTCGCGAGCGTTCGGTACCGCCTCAGCAGTCGCGCAACGAACCCTCGGGTGAAGAACAACGGTCCCCGTCGGCCATTCTCCTGGTCCCTCAACTCGAGCCCGCAACGGCAAGAGAAGTGCTTGGCCGGGGCAACGAGCCCGAGGGGACGATCCAGCCGGTGGAAAGTGCTGTGAGACAGATACCTGGTGGTGCCTCCTCCAACGAGTCGGTGCAGATAATACCCGAGGATAGAGTGGGCGGTGCTCGGGTTGTAACTGGCTCGCAACAAATAAACGCGACACCAAGTGAGTGCAATCACGATTTACGTGATATTGTACATATTGGCTTATGATAAAGCTAATTTGACTAATAATTGGCTTTAAATTAAAATTTATATTTTATGATATAGGTAATATAGGTTATAGTTTTACATTATTTGATGTATTAAATGACGATGATCGAATGTCGGAAATGATGAAATTTAAAATCGTTAAGACGATTGAAGAAAATAACTTTCAATTACAAAATACATTTATGTTAAATATAAGTTTGTGCATATTTGTCCATTGTAAAGGCTTGTACTCGTGTAAATTTAAATATCATTATTCTTCCAGTTTCGAACGCAACTCAAGATTCATCGAATGATAATAGAAATAAGAGAGAGGAAGCCGTCGGTGCTTCGATTGCCGAGAGTCAAATAAGCTCGAGTTTACCGAATCGTAGAGATTCTTATGAAGACGGCGATGATGAAGGTTCAGTAAATAGCAGGGAAGGGAGTAGAGATAGACGTAGAGAATCGAGTCCAAAATCTAGAATGCCTCGGTATGATTACAGTAGGAAACCTTTATAGTAAGTGAAAATGAAAAATAATGATGCATTTATTTATTTATATTTTATAGATGTTTGAAATTAAAATAAAATTGAGCTTAAAAATTGGTATTATTAAATAATTCGTAATAGTAGTTTAAATACTTCATTAATTATCTAGAAATATATTTTATAAGTTTGTTAATAAATGTTATATTTCTTAAATATTATTAATGCATAATTAATATGGCTATTTTAATTAATTTTATTTTATTATAACGTACTTCTTAATTAAGAATGTCAAATAATTCGCTTGTAATTGCCGATAATTTTAAGATGAATTTCTTTTGGAATGTAATTGAAATTATTATTTTTATATTTATTTATTTATTTATTTTTTTTTTTTTTTTTTTTTTTTTTTTTAAATTTGTATTAAAGATTTTGATTTATTTCAGTTACGATCGAGAGCGAGAATACGACGATGACTATTATTATGAACGTCGACGTGTAGAATATGATCGAACTTACAATTCTCGGGAGGATTTGGAGAGACGAGACGTTTCTTATAGGGAGGATGATCGGCGCCATGCCAGTCGAGATGATCTCGATCGTGATCGCCATCCACGAGAAGATTTGGATAGAAGATCCAGGATGAAGGAGGATATTGATGAGAGAGATGGTAGAAGAAGAATGGATGAGCGTAGAGGTGATCGAACATCTGATTCTAGACGTTTAGATAGAGAGGGCAGAGAATTTGATCCACGATATCCGAGGGATCGTGATTTTATAGATCGCGAAAGAGATAGGCGACGCGATGAAAGAAGAACTAGAAGGTTTCCGGATTATGATTCACGGGAAAATTATAAAAGAGAATATTACGATGATTCTTATGGAAGAAAGTGAGTTTAAACGTTCTTTTTAACTACAGATTTTTACTTAATTTTTAATTTTTGAATATTTTAATTAACTAAATATTTTAGTTAATTAAATTTCATATTTAATTAGATTTTATGAATAGTTATTTTTAATGATACAATAATATAATATACAAAAATAATATAATATTAGTAATATTAACAAAATTTTGACTCAGTTCTAGGCCATCTAGTAGATCATCATATAATGACAGAGAAAGAGAGTATTACTCGCGATCGAGGGATTTATATTCTTCATATGGTTATAATAGTATGTATTGGGATAAGCCTATATTTTATAATCATGTATAATATTCCAGCGTATAATAAAATTATTTTCATTGATGTTAGATTATCAAGGATACGACTATGGAACGAATTACAATAGTAATTATTACGCATATCTCGAAAATCTACGCAGAACTGATCCCGCTGCTTATGCTGAGTGGTATCATAAATATTATCAACATCATCAACAAATAGCAAGGGGGGTTACGACAAATTATTCCGAAGACAGAGCCAGTGTTCATTCTGGTCGAAGTTCTTGTGATGACAGGTACAAAATATGTTCGTAAAATTTATTCTAATTATAGTAATTTATCTAATACGACGGTTGAATATAATTTTTTGTTTTTACTTTATCATCATATACTTTAATATAATATTTAACAATTAATTTTTACTAACAATTTATGTTGTTCGATTCCATTTGCACGCCAGAGTGGTTACAGACGCAAAAATTGTCTTCCGTTCGGCAAATAAAGCATTATATGTCTCGTGTTTCGGATGTTCTGGATGGACTAGAAGTTCTTCACAAAGACGAAATATTGTTAATCGAAATTCAATTAGGTGATTTTAAAGTTGAAAAGTAGTTTGCTAGAAGGAATGCTTAATATTGTATATGTATAAGTGTAATATTATTATTTCATTCGTCACATGTAAAAGTTTCTAATCAACGGTTTATATAATTTTATAACTCGCGTTTTCTACCTGAATTACATTAAATTTGATTGTCAGATTTGTTAAAAATTTCAAACAACAGAATTGTGATCTTTATTTTTAGGAATTCCAGTGAAAAGCGAAATTTAACAGATATATCATTACTGGAGGATCAAACAACTGTTTCATCAAGATTAACCCCAACAAAGTTCTCGTCTGCTCACGCGAAGGGTAGATTTTAAATTACTAAATATTATTTTGGAATCGACTTATTATAATATACGTTATAATATTTGTTTTCAGGTACGTTTTCAATTGGTGCATTATTACACGTTCATGCAAATTATCCGAACGAAGGCGAACGAGCCAAAGTGGATATTTTAAAAATGGATTATCTTTTGCCCCACGACATAATATCACGCGAGCTTCGAAGTTATCCGGGACCTTTGATAAAGTATGCAATGTCTTTTTAAACTCGCTGCATTATTTGCAATTTTTATAAATTGTATTTTATAATACATAATATTTAAAGTAGTTTAAATTAATATTTATTGCTTGTATCTTTCAGAGGTGTCACTCACAAGAGAACAATCATTGAGTACTGCGAAAATAAAATAAAGAAGGCATCTTCGAACGATGATATTTTTGAAGTTTCATCTTACGTTCTCATATACGAGTTGATGATTATGTTAATTCAACAGAACGGGGTAAAATAAAACTTGCTGCTTTAATTAATAACCATTTTATTGGGTATTTATAATTTTTAAATTATGAAATAAATTTACAGAACGTTGTTGGTGTTGATATTGCTTCCTTGTTATTGAGGAATAAAGATGCTTATCCATATGAAGTGAACAAACCACCTACAGAGCATATTCGTAGAGAATCTATGATATCTCAGCGATCTGGTGCTTCTGGTGGTGATAGAGCCACGTCTGATACTTTACCATTGCATGAAAAAGAGGATCATATTAAGCCTAGAAAAACTATGGAGCAGTTGACCGATGAATTTAGAAACACTTTACTTTATGGTTTAGTTCAAGAAGCTTTAGGTAAGAGCAGCCCGCATAATAATAATAATAAGAATATATCATGCCCTAGAATATTTAATGTTAAAATAATAAATACTGTAACCAAACATTTCTGACTAGAATTTGCAATGGTTGAGAATCTATGGGGACATGCTCTTTTCCTAGCAAGCAAACTAGACAAGCGTACTCACGCGTCTGTCATGACTCGATTCGCCAATAGTTTGCCACCTCAAGATCCATTACAAACTTTATATCAGCTTCATTCAGGCCGTGTCCCTGCAAGTGTAACAGTAAGTTTTCAGATATACAGCGCATTCATTTTATGTAATCTTAGCCATTTTTAATTTTTTATAATCTAGAGTAGAATATATTAACGTTACTGAACAATATGCTAGAAGAAACAATAATTATAAATCTTATGTGAAATTTTAAATTATAAATTTATTTATAATAAGGAATTACATTGTAAGTTAATTAATTTTTAGTGCGTTTCTGATTCGAGATGGGATGACTGGAGGCCTCATTTAGCAATGATTATTTCCAATACGTCAGCGAATCCTGATATAAATCGTCGTTCCATTTTGACTCTCGGCGATACGCTCGCTGTTCGTGGTGACATTTATGCCGCGCATTTTTGCTACATTCTCTCTCAGGTTGACTTTGGTTCATATGGATGTAATAACGTGAAACTTGTTTTGATTGGTGCTAATCATCATAAGCCTTATGCCGAGTTTGTTAGTACAGAAGCGATCGTGCTTACCGAGATTTACGAGTACGCTCGTAAGTTAAGCGAGCCATTTACATTAATCGAACTGCAAACCTTTAAATTCGATGTAGCCGTAAAAATGGTGGATTATGGACTTATTGATAAAGCTCTCTTATACATCGAACAAGTGGCTTTGAATATAATCGGCGAACCAGAAAAGTACAAGCAGTCCTTTATTAAGAATGTTTATGTCCTCGGGGATCGACTGAAATATCACGATCCTGTGTATAAAGATTCGGATGAAGATTTAGCGAATCTCCCATGGTTAAACAATCTTGCTGAGATTGTCGGCAAGTACGAAAAGGGCGAAATTATTCAAGATAGTAATCACGGCGGGCCAATTTCTTGTACAACTGATGCAAATCTAGAATCCGCCGACACTCAGATACATCAACAAAAATGGAGCTCGGGTCAAAATTCGCACAATGTAGATAATAATAATCATTCGATGATGGGAACGTTGGATGTGGACTCCCATGGAACATGGCAGTCAAAGTCCTTGAACAATTCGGTTCAAGATTCTTATGGCCTTATATCGGATCACGAAATACAATATCACGATGAAACCGTGGGTGATATTTCCCAACAGCATCAAAAGCAACAGCAACAGCAGCAGCAGCAGCAGCAGCAGCAGCAAGAACAGCAGCAGCAGCAGCAGCAGCAACAGCAACATTATCAATCGTATCAACAAGATTATTGGACGTCGCAACAGCAGCATCAGCAACAAGTCTACGAGCATCAAGATTATGCAAATAGAATGTACACACAATCAGAATGGGATCAATCGATAAATACACCATATAAGTCAGATCATCAGGATATAGAGCACTTAGAGCATCAGAATAATTGGACTCATGAGGTAAGTCGGTGGAGCTTTATTTTTGCTTTTAATATTATTAATTATTAGCTAAGATTCAATGTAACTCACAATCATTTACTAATCAGGGATTATGAAAGTATGGGCCATTGATGAGTAAATACAAATAAAAATTTGTATAGTCAAATTTGTTCGATATATATATATATATATATATGAAAAGCATTTGGTTTTAAATTTGTGATATAATAAAGATTTGGAGTATTATTTCAAAATCATTCAATACATCTAAATAATCAGAGAAATTCGAACATTTTTGAACTACATTTTGTAAGATAAGAATGAGCTACTTTCGATCTCCTTATTCCGGCTTTTGATCGAACAAGCTACGGCGTTTTCTATCTTATAAAATATCGTAAGATAGATATATTAAATAAAATTACATCATTGTAAATTCTGTAATGCTTTTAAAATTAAGCGGCGCAGAATCGTAATTAGATATAAAAATAGGAAAAAAGGAAAAAAGGAAAAGATTATATTGAATTTATGTTTTTATTGAAAAGGAAGGAATCTTGCAATAGAAGTAATTTATAAAAAATATTCTTTTATTTACTGCCGAATTCTCTTAGTAATTCTAGAATAGAATACCGAGTGGCATACATCGGTAATTAATTGGCATTTCGTTCGGGCTCATTTTGTCATTATTTAATTTATTTTTCGATGGAGCTTTATAGTACATAAAGGCTCAGGTATACGTTTTCTTGTACATGTATAAAAATTAAAAAAAAATAATAATAATAATAATAAAGCATTTATCAATCGAATACGTAAGAATCCAAAAGTAAAAAAGCCAAATTTAGGAAGCAGTGTACATATTGCAATGGATTCTGGATCGTTTGGTTTGAATTTTTGTAAAACGAGCGGAAGAAAGTTCGACATGAAATCTAGAATAGAGAAGTCGAGCGAGCTCTTCTTATATAAACGAATCGTCCTTACTTAACATGAGAATTTTGGGACTAACGCCATTAATGACACAACGCCTCTTTCTTTAACGCTCTCTCTCTCTCTCGCTCCACTGCGCGTGGCCAGTCGGAAAAGCTGGAAGAGAAGCCAGTCAAGAAAGCAAGCGCAGTGGAAGTAAGTAGCCCCGCCTGTCATCTAACTAATACCCCAAAGCTCGCCTGCCTCTCGGAGGCGCGCGAATCGCAAGCGCTGCGTCGGCGTCGCTGCGCCGATAAAGCTCCGGGTGGCGTCGGAGCGGCGCCGCTGATGCTCAGCGCCGAGGACTTCGCTCCGGGCGTTAAGCCGCCGATCGTGGAGAAAGTCCAGCGGCTCAAGTACGCACGGGTGAGCGCGACGTATTCGCGAATTGGCCCGAGCGTCGAGGAGCCGAAGTCGCGGAGAAGCGTCAGTCCAGCTTCAAGGCCACCGAGTTCCCAGTCGGCGGTGTTCCTCAAGTGCCCGAAAGGGCACGGAACGACGTGCAAGCAGGAAGGGCAGGAAGAGGACGCCGACGAGGCCGGCGACGCCCTCAATGAGGGGAAGCTCGCGAAGAGCCGACCGACTACGGATTTGGACATCCAGTTCCAGCAGATGAAGCTCGACGATCTGGCCGACGCGGCCTTGGGCCTCAAGTCGGACAAGACGCGCAAAAACGTCAACACGAACGGCTACGGGACGGGCACTGGCGGCGGCGATACCGGCGGACAATCTCTGGTGCAGTATTGCAACTTTGAGGAGAAGAAGGTCGTGAGAGTAGCTCCGCATATACGGAGAAAGGACGTTATATGTGAAACTGTAGACGCATGGAGTCGTCGGGGCGACGTTGATATCCCCCAGAGGGCGAGGTACAGGCCGCTAATATTCTGCGGCACGTATCCGATCGACGCGCCCTTGGCGAATAACCGCACCGCGAGTGAGCGCGACTGGAAGGTGACATCCGGTCGATGCATCTCCAAGACTTTTGACATTGACGCGCCGACAAGCTTGGAATAACGAGCGACGGTTCTACTTTTATAACCGGATAGTACTGCATGCCACGATATCTCGCAATTTTATTGAGTATTCCATGTTTTGCTGCGTCATTTTTTTTTTTTTTTTTTTTTTTTTTTTCAATACTCGCGACTCTCATTCTTATTATAATCATGTGCACAATTATTATATCGTTATGACTTTTTCAAATATATCAACCCAAACTTTTTATGAGTTGGTAGCATTTTTATGTACGTCCATGATGCTTGTACAGTAACTCGCAACTTTGTCTGTTTATTGAGTATCGTATTATGATGTCGCGGTTACATTTCAAATGAATTTAACAACCTTGAATTGTATAATATTTTTATTTTTCCTCTAATCTTTGATTTTATGTATAGTAATCTGTTAGACGATGTTAAACATAAAACTGATCCTATTTTACAAAATAAAATTTATATTACTGAAAAAGTTGACTTTTACTTTTGCTCTGAAAGAAACCGATGATTAACAATTAATCCGTTTCATTTACTAAAAAATATGAATTTTTTTTTTTGTGATGAATTATGCAAGGCGGTTGTCCATTTGTGTTAGTATTGAGAAATAAGTAGTGAATTTGATTTGAAGCATGCAAAGTATTTCCTTGATTACTGTTGGCCATTTATCCATTTAATTCGTAGAATATCAACCTTCTCTCTCAAGTCTTGAGCTCCGCTTTTAAAACAGCGATCAAGGATGGACTTTGCAAGAAAAAATTGCGATAATCAATCTTTTTCTCATCTTATAGCAGCTGGAGCAAGAACGGCAGCAGCCAATCGAGCATCAGCCCTATCAGCCAAACATTTCGATGGGCCCTAATAGAGGAAAGCAATACGATCCGCTGGAAGAACTTGAATCGCTGGAACCATCGAGGATCTCCTCGGTCAAATCTACCTCGAATGCTAAAAAACAGCCGGAGAAGGGAAGCGATAAGAAGCAGGCGAACGGTGGAGGCTCGTGGTTTGGAGGATTATTTAGTAAACTCGCGCCAAAGCCGAAGAATCAAATGATATTGCCGGACGACAGCAATCCCGCGGTAATTTATTTTTTTTTATGGCCTTCCCCCCCCCCCACTTTTTATTAAAATGACAAACATTAGATGAACAAAGCAAGATGAGATTTTCTTGAACGTGTCATGCATGCACGTAGTAACAATAATTACACGTCTGGCAATCTTATAAATACAATTTGTGTGCTTTATATTGTCTCCTTAGATTGTTTGGGACTCCGTAGCGAAGAAGTGGACGAATAAAGAGGAGGAAGATGGAGGTTCGACTCCTCTGGCACCACCTCCCAAAGTTACGGATATCCCGAGCTTTCATCAGACTCCAGCGATTATTAGTCAGAATCCCGTCCCTTCGATGATGTCAGCCGCCCCCGTCGCAACTTTGCCGGAGGATACGTTAAACTTCAATAACTCGAAATTGATCGCCAGTGGTGGGGCCAGCGGAGGCGGCAGTGGCAACGGTGGCGGCAGCGTTGGTGGTGGTGGTGGTGGTGGAAACATATACAAGCTTTCGAGGAGCCGAAATATGCGGGCCAATTATGTGGATGTGATGAATTCTGGTGCCGCCAAGTCCGGCAGTCCTGCCGTAATGCCGCCAATACTGGCTGTACCAACACCAGCCGGATCCCCGACAATGCCTATCGCAGCTTCTTCGCCTCAGCTCTTCATGCCTGCCGCAGGTAATTAATCAGATGATATTGGATCATACGGTACTACTCCATGGTACCATACGAGTTCGTTAAAAGGTCGAGGGTCGAGGGTCAAGGGTACTTGCCTTACATTAGCTATTTCATTTGAAAATTCATTTCGATGTTTGATTTGTCGAGTTAAAAATCGACTAATCGAGGAAAACAACAACAATTGAGGATATTCATGCTAATTTATTATCAAGCTATGCGGATGGCTTTATTATATCGTGTGAAAAGCGTTTGATTAAGCAACGAAAATGAGATATTATTATTACTGTTATTCATTTGTATTGTAATTTTTTTTTTATTTTATTTTTTTTTTTTTTTACAGTCAACGATGCAAATGCACCCGTGGATTTCTTAACTCCGTCATCGACTATCGCTCCGCAACCAATTGAAAACAATCAAACGGTAAGTTAATAATGAAACAAATCACTCATTATACTCTATAGTATGTAGTTGTGAATTGAATTAATGTATTAATTATGCATTACTTTACTATTGAGAAAACAAATACAAATATCCTTTGAGTTATTATTTCGGAAAATCTATTTAGTATGCAAAGCATTAATTGTTTTATTTGTATTTACCAATTGCTTTCTTACAAGTATATTTAATAATTTAATGAAATTGTTTTGCTACGGACAAATTTAATTTTTATTTTCATTTTTATATTCATGCGTATGAAAGATAATAGACTAGTGAATTTGTATCAATTATAATTATTGCTAAAATCTAATTCTTGACTTTTTTTTGATTTATTTATTTTATTATGTGTGTATTGGTTTTTGTACAATAATTTACCTATTTTCTGTAGTGTACATAGTAATAAAAAAATGATAGCAACGAATTTTACAATGTACGTTTTGAATACTTTTATGTAATATTTCAACAAGTATAAATGTATTATATTAGCTTAAATTTCCCTTGCATGATCGACTGTATATTATTCTAAAAGTAAACAATTTAACGAAGGATCTAGTTGTTTTGTTTATGAAATGTTTACAATAATAATAATAATAATAATAATAATAATAATAATAATAATAAGTTTATAATATTTATTTGTTGTAACATTAGAAACAATTATTCCAATATTTGAAAATAAGGATTGTTCATTATATTATACTTTACAATTTATATTGTATTAATAATTTGTGTTTTGTTGTAGTATAAATAAATAATATGGTATAAATATTAACTGTTTATAATTGTGTATGGTAATAATGAAAATAATTAAATTGAAATAAAAGGCAATTTACTTAAGTATTTAATTCACATTCTTTATGTATTCTGTTTTTAAGCAGTTGGGGAAGCAGAATGATCTAGCCAAATAACAATTATTACGAATAGTAAGAATAAAATATCTTTATAAATTTCACTCGTCTTACATGTTTTCAATTGTATTTTTGGACTACTAGTATAAAGCTATAAAGAGTGTACGTTATCTTTTGTAATAAGCAAAAAGCAAATGATGTATTTTCTTGTAATTAAAATATATTTGAAACAATATGTTTAAGATTATAAATAGTTAGATTACAAGTAGCCCTAAGATTATTATAAATTCGTAAAATATTTTCTTTATTTTGCATAAATTTAATTATTTTCCTTTATTATTTTTATTACTTTATTCAATTGTGTTTTTATGAATAAGAAATTCTTGCGTGCCCTCACTTGCTTTTCTGTATAAGTTTTCGATTATTTAAGCTTCTTAAAAATGTTAATTTTGACTTTTCACAAGTACAGGTTATATATTATGTACAATATACAGTACCTTACAACCGAAAATTTTAATAAATAAATTTGCGTATTTATTGAAACTGCACGAGATTCTGAGCTTCAAATTATTCTGTTATTCAATGGTTGAAGAAAACGTATTGACTGTTCATAATTTAATACGATACATAGTTATTCTTTAGTAGTTTTTGTAGTTTTTTTTTAATTTTTTTTTATTTCAATTTTAAATATGAACATATATTAATTTTTATACTTAGCTGAATGTTTATAATGTATCAAAGTATATCTTTTGGGTTCCATTCGTATATTCCAATTAACATTATTCTTAATTTTAATATTAAATGTACTTAATTTATTCATATGATGATCACAAACGTGACGGTGATATGAATTAAATTTTGGCATGCAAGTAGTGTAATTGCTTAAAATGTAGCTTTTCGTGGTTATAAAACAATGCGTAAATTTTCTTCATTCTTTCACTTTGCTCATCTTTGTGTTTTTGGTTTTGGGATCTACTTCAATACTCCTTTATATATACCCGCACATACATTTATCTTTTACTTATTATTAAATAATGTATTTAAAGCTAGCAGTTTGTATAACATACAAACGAGTCATAAATGCAAAATTCCTTAAAATTTAATGCCATTATTGTTTTTGCTATTTTATACAAATGTCATATAAAAATAAATAACATGTAAGTAAAATCAAATATTTTATTATATTAATAAACGTATTACTTGCGTTATTCATACGAATTATTTTCCATACGTATCTTTATATACATTTAAAAAGCATAAAATATTTTTTTTCATTTGGAACGAAATAAAAATTAGATCTTGAAAGAAGATAATGGCCTTAAATTAAAGCTTAATCCGGTTATATATAAATAAGAAATTTCATTGTTGTAGATTTTTGTAATTTCATAAGTTTCAAAAGTGAAAATTATTTAAAAATATATCAGTTCCTTTAACAAATGAAGATAGAAAAACATTATTTGTATTCAAAATTGTAGACTGTACCGTGACATTTTTAAAAGCACTTTTAGGGATTAAAATTATAGAGGAAAATGTTGTTGTTTCAGACTTTTAAATGTTATAATATGGAGTAAATATTATTTTCAATTAAGATAAAAAATATATGGTAATAATTTGTTCCTTAAACGTTTATTGTATTTCTTATTGAAAGTATTGCTCTAGATAATAATTCAATCTTAATGCCTACAATTGACAGATATGATTGATACAATATGATTTTACGTTGAGTATTGCCATAAATCTTAATAGTTTGGTTTTTAAATATTCTATTTTGAGTATTACGAATTTTTAATTTGTTAGCCGTATAACATCATTTGGATATTTTCGTAATTGTAATTATTCATAAAATACATGAATAAATTATCAATACTATTAATTTTACTTGTATCAATTATTTATATTGTGCGCTTGCATTGAGAATTTGTAATTAAAATCTCCATACAATGCTACAAAGTTTCTAGTGTATATTTCAATAATAGCATTAATAGCATTTTGTTCCTTATTTTTATAATAAAATTAATTGATCGATACAAATCCATTGTATCATTCGGTGTAGTGCCATATAACATTGTTTTATAATTTATTTAGGATATTCGTTTTATATTATCTAATTTTTCTCTTAATCTAGGAGAATTATTTTATTCGTAGTTTTATTTTCATTTGAAGCATACTCAATTTAAAGATAACGTGTTATATTTTCAATCATTATTCTCTTGAATATTTCTAAAATACTTATAATTAATAGCGTTTGTGAATATGAAGAATGTGATAAATAATACGGATGTTCTAATTAAAATTATCATTTAATAAACCGAATTGACATTAGAATAAAATTTATTTATATAAATACTGTGATAAATAATGTGATCTTTCATATAATTTATAAAACGCATAGCTGCATATATTTAGATCGACATTCTCAAGTTATTATCATATATATATTGTTTATTATCGTCTTTTCATTCGTCCACATTGGTATATGTTACTGCCTCGTAAAATTATAAAATTATGACAATTATGTATTCATCATGTACTCGTCCTTCTTCTAGTCTCCCTTTATCTCTCTCTCTCTCTCTCTCTCTCTCTCTCTCTCTCTCTCTCTCTGTATCTGTATCTTTTTATATATAATTTATCTCATAGAAATATAATTTGAATTTCATAAATTTCTCTGACAGATTTCAAATGTTTTTCAATTATTTATTAGAAAAATATTGATTTAAAAAAATTATACATATTACTTTGATTTTATTTTTTCAATATATTTTTCGACTTAATCTATGCTTTATATTATTTTATGTTACATAAATCATAGATTTATCGATATTTATTATACTTTTATTTCATAAAGTTTGATTTCTTTTTCAAATTAATAATTGTTTATTACAAAAATCAAAGATTATACAAGACTAAGAGTATTTAACAGAAATATTTTCCACATACAAAACTGTTAATTTAATCCTTATCTTATTGTTGTATAACATTATAATACCCATAATTTTATTTTAATCTTGCATCTATCTTTCTGTATATATTTTGACTGTATAAATAATTGTTTGACTGTTTTTTTTTTACTGTATAAATAATTGAAAAATATAATAATTTTAACCGTTTTATTTACCCAACGTTCGTAAAGGGAAATGTGTGTGTGCGTGCGTGCGTGCGTGCGCGCGTGCGTGCGTTCGTGCGTGCGTATGTATGAATGTGTAGATGTGCATGCATACATGTGTACTGATTATTAATGATAAATCAATAAAAGTCTAAGCATTGCATAATGTTTATTATTCAACGATTATTTCAAATTAGATGGATAATTTTTTCCGAAAAATAACGATAGCTAACCATAATTGATAATTACAATACAACACAATGCAAAAGTTTATAATGAGATAAAGTATTAGAAAGAGGCAATCAGTGAGATTGTTGTATTTTGTACATGAATATCACAGCTCTCGCGCTGGAGCTCGACTAGTTCGTTATCTCGAGAGGTTCAGAGCTACACAATGAGGGATCCGCGACTTCTTCAACGGGACAAGGTAAAGGCACTGCATTATAATCCCCATTCATTACCGATAGTCACTCATCATTGATTAGATTTAGGATCTCGCGAATTATTTTACATCAATTTTCAACAATGCACAGGTTTACTCTACGAGCAAAATAACTATATTAATCGGGCATTTCGGTAGGATCTCTAACGATGTCGTAACCATTATTTTACACATAATTAATTTTAGTGCACAAATTATAACAACAATAATATGCTTTTCAAGCTAACCTTATTTCATTGTTTGTTTATAAAATATTACGTTGATGTAAATTTTGGGAAAGCTTGATGCATTTTTTATACTTAGTTTTAATTTACCGTACTTTTCGCTACGTATTCATTGCTTGTCATTTGCATTTCCTAGTAACATTAAAAAAACTGCTCACTTTCATTATATACTCGCATATACAAAATATTATTTTTTATTTAACTACATTTTTTCATAATAGTTTTGTATTTCATATTTTTAGTCTAATTATAATTAATTATACGCACATTAAAATATATAAAAATACAATCAGAATTAAGTATGTAGTTGAAGGGTTTGTGAAACCCTTAAATTAAGATTTGACTTCGGTTCAAGAAAAATTAAAAATTTTTAAAGCAGTTTTTTCTTTTAAACAGTCCCCGATGAAGTTTTAAACGTTAGAAGCTTGCATTATAATGTAATTTATTAATATTTCGATTATATATCAAATGTGATTGGCTATTTGAAAAATATAAATTCAAATAATCTTGTAATGAGAAAATATTTATTAATATTGTGTGTAGTATATGCTACATTATTTAATGTGGACTTGATGTTAAATAGCGTTGTAATCGTGTTTTGTTGACAAAATTATAACAGCTAATATTCAATGAAAATCATTTATGCTATTAATTGAATTTCATTTAATGTAGTTAGCTAACGCAGTATTTTATACGTAAATATAAGAATAATGTAATATATTTTTTCAATATTTCGCATTAAATATTAAATATTAATGTTGAAAATTATGAAATAATTATTTATATAAATATATATTAAATGAATAAATAGGTATTTAGTTACATTTAAAAATAAAGATATGAAAAATTGAAATGGATTTATAATTTGCACGATTATCGATTGTGCATGATCCATTTGCTTATGTAATATACACAATTTTTCTGATATTAAAAATAAATTTTTTTGAAGATTTTAATTTGTTTGTTTTTGTTTTTTTTTTGTTTTTTTTTATTGAAACAGCTTTTATGACCATACAAGCAACAATATTAATCAATAAAACGTTATTACGGTATTGCTAACATATACAGTTTCTCATTTTAGTTTTCATACGGTATAAAAACAAAGGATTTTTATGGAGTAATTTTATGTATAGACTTGTAGCATTGAAAATGCATTATAAAAAAAAAAAAGTTTAGTGTAACGAAACCCTACTGAATATATAATTTTCATTTTAAAAAATTTAATAAACATTTTTCTATTGACCCATCAGATATTCTAAAACTTGTAGAAACTTATATAAATTCACAATCTAGATAAATCTGATCGTTCTGATTATAAAACTTTTCTCAACTTTTAATAAGTCTATGTAAAACTCTTCATTTAATATATCGATTTATATAAATTTAAATATTTATATTCTCTATAGATATATAAAATGAGCGAGAGAGAGCGAGAGAGACAGAGAGTGAGAGAGAGAGAGAGTGAGAGAGAGAGAGTGAGAGTATAAATATTTAAATTTATTTACTTTATACATAGTCTTTTATTTATTAACTTAAATTTGAAATAATTTTTAAAAAGCTTTAACCGTAAAAGTATTAAGATTTGTACTGGAACAGTAAATATAAACAGTATACTATTAGTATATATTTGTTCATTAAATTAAAAATCTTAATTATTATTTAATATAATGAATAGAAAGAATCGGAATGTATTATAATTTCATGATGTTTCGTAAAGTGTATCATTAAACTCTTGCATAAAAATATTCTTTTATTTAATAATTTTTATATTATACTTAATAAATGATATATTTAGGATAAAAGATCGTATTTTTATTTTTATTTTTACAATTAAATTAAATAATAAAAGTTAATATATTGTTAATTAAATTTTGGATTATTATGATTTAATTTTCAAGAATTCGCATAATCATACTGTTGGGCGATTGTTGCTTTATTCAGTGTTCATTTATTTTATTGCAATTGAAATCAAATTAATTAAATCAAAAACTAAATAATTCATTTTATTTACGATTTTATCATAGTCAACTATTATGTATACACTATTAATACTTTAATTATTTATGTTCATACTTTTTTTTATATATATTTTACTATTTATTTTTAATATCCAATTGTTAATAAAGAAATTTATATCATAAAATATAAAATATTCGATTAATTTGATTGTATTTTTATACATATAATATTTATCAGTCATGCATAATAAAGATTGGTAGAATGAGATACAAAGTACCAATAATTATTATAACACTTACAATAAAAATGAAAATAATTTAATAAAATAATCCGATTCAAAGAAAATATTAAACTTACAAACTTACATCCATATGGTCTTTTGTGTGTGTGTGTGTGTGTGTGTGTGTGTGTGTGTGTGCGTGCGTGCGCGCGCGTGTGTGTATGCACGCGAGTGCATGTACGTATGTTGTCTTAAATTTATGCATAGACGTATAAGTCGTTTAATTACATCTTAATTACATACATATTTTATTATCAGTAACTCTTATTTTAATAAACGTATTTTTTGTTTTTTAATAAATCTAGGGACCAATGATGTATAATCCCGTGGAAATGAAGGATCGTTCGCAGAAGAATCATACTCACAACAGATTTTCACCGCGATAAATGGGTGAATAAATGCAACATATTATCGATTTCTTCACATTCAAAGTGATTAAGAATTGTGGAAGAATCATACGTGAAGATTGCTACAGCGCGACTTGCTCCTAAGTTCGCCAAACTGGGGAAACTGGGAAAAGGAAAGTGGATGTTAATTTATGTACCGATGCGAAACATATGAGGTTTGTGTGAGAAATGTATCCATCACGATCAAGTTAGACAATTATGTATGCACGCATGTGTAATGTGCAATGCGATAGCTGCGTATGATTATCCAGGATGTTAATTTTTACGTAGAAGAAATGATATGAAGCGAAAGGGGGTGGGGGGGGGATACGAAAGAGATAAAAAAAAAATCGGTACATCGAGTACGAAGTTCGTCTATAACTGCAAATATTTTGTTGAATTTATATTGTAAATGATGGAAAAGGGAGAGAAATTTTTTTTATTACATATCCTTTGTATTTTGCAGTTTTGCTTTTTCGATCGTGCATAATACGACGAAGCAAGTCGTGTTTGTAATTTTGTGTTCTTTACTTGTTTGTTCTTTTATGTTCTTTTTCATTAATTTTACAATTTCTCATTCCTATCGACAAAGAGTGCAACTACATATTTTTCTTATTTAAAAGTGCCGCTATAACGCGCTCATATGTACGTAATTAAATGCATGATCGAAGCACTCGTGTCGAATATAATTTGCAGTCAGGAGTAACGATCGCGTTGTAACAATTAGATATAATATTAATAATATGGGTAATATGAGCTGCGGAATTAATTCAATATTGATTACATGAAATACATAATTAAAATGATTCATAACAATGTTATATATGAAATAGTATGGTCTTGGGTGCACGATGTGAGTGGAAGTCTGATTTTATATGTAACTATCATTCTTATGAATAACAAATCGCTGTGAATTTGCTTAATGAATATATGATTTAAAATGTTATTAATTTCATTTTGGAAACATCCGTTAATAATTATGTTAGTTTAAAAATTCGTTTGCTACATGCTTGGCCTGAATATCTTCATTCGATTATCTTGCATGAAGCACGTAATAATTATTTCAAATATTAACGTGAATTTAGCGTTATCAGGAATATTTTTTTATAGTACTTGTTTTTAGAACAAAGTACTGCTGTCGCTTGACATTTTATAGTATTGCGGATTATTTTCATAAAGAAGGCATAAAACAAAATTATGAACTATATTGTGCAGGTAACAAACCAATATTTTCTTATCAATATTTTTATTAACATATCAGTTGATAATATAATTTTCACAACTTCTTATATAATTCGATTAAGTGAAACAAAAAACAAAACAAAAAACAAAAAACAAAACAAAAAAAAATGCAAAAAAAAAATGTTGACATTATATCTACAGTAAATATAAAATTGTAGATGTAAACTGCTAACTTTGTATATTATTGTTCTTAACTATGACTTTAAATTATATAGGTTGCTTGTAATATAAAATTGGGACACTGCTTATTTATAATTAAAAGCTGAATATTCATTGGAAATATGCGTTATCAATATTTATGCATTTTCTAAAGGAATAATAAATACTTCTATTGATTTTTCAATCAATTTAGTGCTAAAATCGAAAAGTCGTATATTTCTATTGTCCGTGAATAGAAATTATTTATATCTACCCTATTCAATAATTGTTATTTACCTATACTATTTACGATAATTATGGACTTTGAAGTTATTTTTGTTTATTTTGTTTTGTTTTAAATGTATTCTACATACACATATGCTAATACTACAGTAGATCTTTTTTTTTATGGGAACTGAAAAAATTGTACAATAATAGAGTATACATAAGAGAATTAATCGAACTATTATATATAACATTCAGAGTCTTGGTTATGTCAATCTTTATTTTATTATTATTATTTTATAAAAGCGTTCCGCATTAATTGTAAATAAGTAGATCTAATTATTCTACACTAATTTCTGGGCGTACACATCGACTCAAAACAGCATTCTGGAAAATGTTCTATAAAAATTTCAGTTTGAGTGCTTTCTTATAAATATACGGTTGAAAAACAATTGTGAGAGTGAAATTTTAGTTCTTGACTCTTTATAAATATTGCAAAACGATAAGAAATTATTTATTATATTTAAATATTTTGTTGATATACGTCGTCTTCTCTGTCCCGTTTAATAATGTGTAAAGTTATCGTGTCTAGTTACAACTAGTAATATAATTAATTTTTAAAATAGATATTTTGCCTAATTAGTAGTTTTATAAAAGCATTAAGGCTCAGTTTGGATTGAAATTTTGTTCAATAAACAAAAAACGTAGAAACCCCGAAAAAAAAAAGAAATTAAGCTAGAGATTCTTTAATAAATATACATGAATAATGTAACTATTTTTCTTTCTTAAATCGTACCATTTATTCTCACAGTATTACTCTCACAGTTGACCGAAAAATTTTCTAATACATTGATTAATGTTGCAATAAAATGAAGGTAAAAGATTAAAATATATATAAGCAAAGGCGAAGAAAGCTTTAGAATAAAAAAAAAAATAATAAATAAATAAATAAAACAAAAGGAAATATCAACATAAAATATAGGAATTCCATCTAAAAGCTTATGTCGTGATATATGTAGAAAAAAGGAATAACAAAAAGAACATTGTAAGCAGTGAGAAGTGAAAGCTGATGGTGTATAATGTTAAAGTTGAAATTAAGTATTATATTAAGCTGTATGTTATGTATAGGAATGGTTTTGTATTAGTGATGTGATCTTCGGCTTGAGATGTATGATATACAGGATGTTCTTAATAAAGTTAACTCATGGTTCACTCGCTGGCACGAACGAGTATCCAAGAGAGCTTTGAACATCAGTTATAATTATCTGTACGATTTCTGAATAAAAGGTAAATTAAAGATATTCCTAGCGCATTTTCAAATTTTTCAAACCTCAGTATATTGTTACCCTCGAATAATAATTTTTATAAACAGCTATTTCCCTTTCAGAATTTTTACCGTATGCAACGTATGCAACATCTGTAATAATATACAAATTTTTAATTATCATTAGCAAACATTAATAAATAGAGTAAATACATTTTTTGTTTGTTTATAAATAAGTTCCAACAGTTTTCATATAATATAACATACATCTTCTAAATTGTACCTATTACATAGAATTTTTAATTCTAGCCTTGATTGTTAAAAAGTAACAGAGTATATGTATTACAAATATCAACTTTATTAAAAAAAAAAAAAAAAAAAAAAAAAAAAAAAAAAAAAAAAGGGAATATAAATTAAAATTATAGATACTATAATAATTATAATATGAGTTTTAGTTTTTCAGAAAATAATTATTCATTCATTACAATTGATGCATTTTATTTTAACGTTACTTTATTGAAAATAATTTATTTTCCATACGATTATTTTATTTCCATTCTAAAAAATATTATATGTTAATAAGGATTAATTATTCTTTATTTGCTTGGCATTAATCGTTTAATTTGTCAATATATAATATTTTATAAAACGTAATCATATGTATAAATATTCTAGCATAAGAAATCTACTAGTTATAACAATTTTGAACGTATAATGTTTAATTCAAAAGTTAATACGGTCTAAAATTAAATATTTTCAATTGAAATATGCATGTAAAGTGCATTTCAGAGAATTAAAAATAAAAATTTTATAAATTAATGTGAACCGAAAAATTAATATGACCTATTACTTTTTTTTTATACATATTATTAATCTCATATTATCAATGCTTAGAAATTTTCCATATAAATCATAATATTCGTTAAATATTAAAATAATTCTTTTCTTTTTTTAATTAAGTTATTAAAAAATTAAATATGAAACGAAAAAATGAGTAAACAAAATTTTTAATTACGACAATAAAGTTAATCTTAGATAAAGCAGATTATTTGTATTATATTAGATGAGGTGTTATATTCTGACACAAAAATCTCCTTTAGAAAATAGTACCGAAACTATTTATATGTAGATTTCTTGCGTAATGTTTCTCTTTCGAATTTTAAAAAAGTCAAACGAAAATACTTTATAAAAATAATATTTGAAATTTTTTATAAAACTGAATAAGAGCGTACAAAAATTTTTCTTGATTGTAACTAAAATGATGATAATAACAATTTGTTAAGTTTACAAAACTTTACTAATAATAATATAGGAAGTTTATAATTCTCGTATAATAAATTTATATTTTTCTGCATTGGCAATATTTAATTCTATGTTGTTATTCCAACGGAACTGATAGATGCTTAATGTATATTTAAAATAAGATGATTATTTGAAAATTATTGTCAGACATATTGAAAAATTCATGAAACTCAAAATTATCTTCTTTTGACAGACGATGTAATAAGTATATGAACTACCGACAATAAAATTGTTTTTAATTTCTAATTGTAATTTCCATTAATTCAGTTTTATTAGATCTTGTTCTATTATTTATAATTGATTCATTCAATTTTGATTCAATATTAAATATTTTTTATTAAATTTTCTGTAGTAGTATGATCAACTTTAGTTAATTAAACTTTAATTCACTCCGTTCCACAAATAATCGGTCAATTATATTCTGATTTTAATCATCCAATATGTTGTCGGGCTAATAATAAATATAAATAGGAATTGAGAATTAAATTTACATTTTAAATTATCTCTTCAATAAAATTTGAGTATTTCCATAAAAATTTCTATTAATTTATATTATTATACATCATATTATTATCATAATTTAAACTATTAGATGTTAGAAGATCCATGTTTTAAAATTTTCAAATTTTATTGAATTGATTAAAATGTTTATATTCTTGTCTTAAAATCTGGTTAAGCTAAGGAGCTCGAAATACTTCATTAAAAAGTATTTATGATATTCAGTAATATTAATGTTTGTAATAATTAAATTAATTATTAAGCTTTTAATTAGAATTTAAGTTTGATCGTTAATTTCTAACTTGTAAAATTAGTCCGAGAGCATAAATCTAAGAAGATTTGAGTTGTAAAGAGAATTTGCGTGTTAAACTGAAATGCATGAGCCTAGCCGATAATAATGGATAACTTGAAGTATTGAAGTACATGTAATATTATTCAATTGTTGAAAAACTAATTATTTTTGGTGTTAAATATGTGTTTTTTTAAATATCATCCATATAACAGTTTGACTCAGTTATTTATAAATAATTTATAAAATAATAATTGAATTATTATAATAGTATAATGGTAGGATAATAGTTGCAATATAAAATGAAAGTTACTATTGATTTTATATTATTTCGTGTATCCACACAATCATTTCATAGATTATTTTCAATTGTACTTAGAGTAAAAAAATATAAAAGATGTTTACATATCTAACGACATTAATATACACATAATTATTAAATAATAGGTGTGACTAATTTAAATAGATGAATTTTAATTTTTTGAATATTTTGATTAAAATATTAAAAATATATTTTTTATATAACTTCACTTAAAAATCACATTTTAATAATTTATAATTGTATCGAGTAAAATGATCTTCAGGAGTGAGTGTTTTAATAAATCAGGTGATCAAGGTAAGGCTAGTCTAGTTGGCATTACGAATAATTATGTTTGTTATTATAAAACAACTTTATTATAGAACAAATTTATTTCGTAATAAAGTAATTCTATAAAATA